TTTGCACTGATATACCTGAATAAAGTTGTTTCTTGAGGTTTGGGATACTTGGAAGAGAAAAACTTGGTAAAATTTTTTCTTCTTGAAGAGATTTCCTAATAAGGAAATTGATGATTGACGGGAAAGAGTTTTTTTTAATTTTTATGTATGTATCCATTTATTTAATTTACATATGTTTTATATTATATGTTACAGGACGAAGTTACTTATGAGTTATTTTAGAAATCACTAGACTACATCAGATTTTATTTTCATGTCAGCTTGTTATTATTGACTGTACATCTGAAGATCTACGTATGTCAAGGCTAACATGCTAAAGCTCCATCAGTACTGTTATTATACGTATATGAAAGGTTCTATTTCTAATTGAGGATATGTTAAGGAAAAGTGTGAAAAGGGAAATTGAGAGTAGTACCTATTAAGTGAATAGAACCTCTGTAAAGAAAATCATTCTAAACCTGATCAACTGCAGTTAAGTGTACCATTTAATTTCCACCTATCTAGAGCTACCTAAGAATGTTCAAGGAACTTATCTTATAGACTTACTGCCTATAGATTATTTCAGTTATCGATACTTATTGCTGTTTTGGTTACCTTCCTAGGATAAGTAACTATTGAAGCAATCTATTACTGGATTGAAATAAGGCTTTTTTGAAAACTTGTAGAAAGAGATACCAGGTACTATGGAGAAACGATTATCAAATCAACTTACTGAAAGTGGACACCTCATATATCTTGCAACTTCTGATAATCATCATAACATTAACCAGACGATCATCATGCTACGACACCTTTTCTAAAAATCACAATACCAATGCTTATTGAATCAGTATATTAAATGGTTTCTCATGGAAAATAGTACTTTTATAGGTTATGGCGTTAGATATTATATTGATTATATTCAACTACCCTCATATGGGGTTGAACTGGTATCTTGTGATTTGACCTGTAAAGTATTAACCACTACACTATTAATTTACAGGTCTTAATTTTTAATATATATTTACAATTTAATAAATTATTATATATATAATATATAATTATAAGTTATAATTTCAAATTATAATTTTAGAATTATTATTTTAAATTCAAAAAATTTTTGATTTATCTTCAAAAATAATTATTCATTTATAAAATATATATTTATTTAGTAGCTATAATCAATCAGAATAGTTAATTTGGCTCAAAAGAAATCAGTAATATTGAAAATAATATTTATTAGATAATATTAATTTATATTTCAGATAAAAATAGTTTGGCTTATAAAGATGAATTAAAAATTCTATTTTAATACAATAGTAACATAAAAAAAAACTATTTATAAAAAAAAATTTTTTTTGCTAATACTATATTGTATAAATAAAATTGAGTCATTACAAAAGCATAATAAACAAAATTGGCACATGATATACAAAGAAAATATTTTTAATAATGATTTTTAGTAATCTATGACCATACAGGTACTGGATTCACGATAATGACAAATATGCCACATGAGTCGTTTGATGATCTCTAACCAATCATTAGTCAATAATTTATTTTAGTGTGCATACCATTGGGCTGATTTTAGAATTTGATGAAAGGAAAAAAGAAACTGTCTAGTACTCATTTTGAATTACATATAGTTACACAATGTAAGACCCTTGTCTTAGATTATCATTTTTCTTTGATAAACTTCCGCTTCTGTCGGAGTCGGACCAAGGAGAGTTCTTACGCACATGAACATGTACTACATAAAATTACGTGATTCTTATGGATGGTTCATTTTCAGTCTCTTTCATCATTTTAAGTATAAAATTGTCCCAAGTACTGCCCCAAGTACCCTTTTCTTTTCAAAAAAAATGGTAAACATACAGGCATTGGAACCGAAGTTGATCGGAGGAATAATCAAATACATCGAATGTCCACTTAATTTAATACTAGCATGTAAAATAATACATAAAGTTTCGTCAATACCATGGGTACGTGCGGAATGGGCCATAAATAAGTTTGGCCGGGCTCATGTTCTCTTCCATTCAGTAAGACTTGGCCCAAATTTCATAAATGTTGAAGTTGTGGATAAAATCCTGGAAAATGGTGGCGTCTTATCTCGATACTTCATCCAGAGACTAGTGATGCATTTTGGGAGATATGACACGAAACTTATTGAACTGAAAATCGAGCATAACATTGGCCAAATCGATGCTGATCGCATTAGGAGTTTTCAACAAAAAATAAAATCCCCTTGGGCCAGTAATCTACCACTTTCGGTCTTTACTCATTTGATTATAGTGGCAGAGAAAAAATTTGGAGAATTAACTGCTAAAGGAAACGATATGGAACTATTTCATTTTCTATCAGCCGGCCCTTATGTCATTGGCGAGGCACCTAAAATCCTGATTAGTAACATGAATAATATCGAAGAATTGATCCTCAAAATGCTTTTTGTTCCATTTCCCCCGAGACCAAAACCTAAAAGAAGTGACCTACACAACTCATCAGCTAATATACACGAAGAATACCCACCAAAAGATGGATACGAAAATAGCCGACAATTAAACGTGATTGCCCGCGCTATCCTTATCAACAAAAATTTGGTGATCTTATGGAAAAGCATCGGATATCATCAAATCTGTAATGATGTAAATGACCTGGTTATGCAAGGGGCCCTCCTAATTCTTTTCCCACCCACTCCAACCACTGGTTATCGTCGCCCCGACAAAAAAGGAGTAAAAGAGAGAATCCGCGAACTTATCAATCTCGGCTTCGATTTGACTTACCCTGTTATTGGAGACATAATGCAACTTTTTGAACCTAAATTATCCGATATCGGTAACATTCTGCTGGAATCCTTTATCGAAATCAAGAATGACCCCGTCAACGAGTTCATGCATAGGATCTTAATAGAGTCAATCAAACCAGAACGCAATTTTAAGAAACACGACCTATGGAAGTTCCTGAACCAAAAATTGGAAAAGATTTATGATAGAAAGGATGCACAAAACAATACTGGTAACAAGGTATTGAAAAAGATGGATGACCATTTGAGCACGAAAGTAAAAAATCTAATTGGTAAGGTGGAATTTCAAGAAAAGGCATTGAAAAGGATGGATGACCATTTGAGCACGAAAGGAAAAAATCGAATTGGTAAGGTGGAATTTCAAGAAAAGGCATTGAAAAAGATGGATGACCATTTGAGCACGAAAGGAAAAAATCGAATTGGTAAGGTGGAATTTCAAGAAAAGGCATTTCTAGATGTCATGGATAGATATGTAGAAAGTGCCGATAAACCTACCGGAACTTCTTTGATATTCACACCTAAATTTTACGATTGGGTTTTGGAAACTTTTGGAGCTGAAGCTAAAATCACCAAGAGGTGCTTTGATGATATTCTCAAGACGCGCGTTAACATTGATAAACAATTGGTACAAACTCTAGATACTAAGGTTCAAGAATGCACCTATGAAGCTATATCAAACATATGGAATATTTATTGTAATAAGCATGTATCTTTTGAACATAAGCACATGCAGCATCTTTCTCAGGCAGCGCATGAAGACATTCTCAATCCACTATTCAAAGGCTTCCTATGGAGACTATTTAAATTGGATCCGACCCATGATCACAAGGCGGTCACACCCTCAGCAACCAAAAAACAGCATGATGACTTAAGCACATCAATGATATGGTACGGTTATCTTGTGAATTTGAAAGATCACCTGATGATATCTGGTGATAAATTAGCAACAAGAGAGTTTAAACAATCTTTGGAATCATTTTTGGATGTTCTTGAAAGTTCGGAGTTTAAAAAAGAAAGCAAGAAAAGAAAGCAGAGATTAGTGGTAAATCAATCTAGAAAGCGACGGAGGAAGAAGGTTTGCAGTCTGTCTTCCGTTACTTTTCTTAAATGTACATACTAAAGATTAATATAATTCCTGCAAATCTCTACAGGAAACATAGAGCTTTTTTCTCCGGATCTATGACTTAACAAATTTAGTCTACCAACCGAGAATCTTATCTCTCATTTTCGATAACTTGGCATTTTTTATAGCATACAGCATAAACATTCATTTCATAATCACCGTCAACTGTTAATATATCATTAGGCAGATAGACCATTGTCGATATTTTTGAATTTCTCCGATACTTTATAATAATAGTAATAGTAATTATGCATAGAAACGCTTTAATATTGTACAAATAATATTTATGTCTGTAAATAACCGATAACCTGACTGAAATGCGGTATATAAAAACACTATGGGGAATGGAAATAAGTTGGTTTTGAAAGTATATACTGCGCACAATAAATCTATAAAATATTATAACTTAGATTTTAATCGTATATTATGTAATTTGAATTTTTTGTAGTTATATTAAAGATTATTATGATAATATTTAATTTTAATAAATAGCATATAGTGCATATATACTGTAGATAATTTTAAACAAGTATTCAAGAAACTAATTATTATAAAATTGAAATTATCCATTTTGTAAAAAAAAAATCAAAAATAAATATTAAGTAATGGATACATGCTATACTGTACATTTAAAATATTAAAAAAATAATAATAATGCATCAAACACATTTTAATAATAATAATGAAATTATTTAAAAAATATAAAATCAATTTTTATTTATTTATTTATAATTTCATATTTAATTATTTAAATTCAACAAAAGCTTAAATAAATATTTTATTTTATAATATATATAATTTGATTCAAAAAAAATCAAAATAATTTTTTTTGTTATAATATAACAATCATTTACTGTAAATTAAACAAAAATTATAAATATACTATATATTTACTATATATTGTATATTAAGATTTGAAAATAAAAATATTAATTTAAAATAATACAATTATAGCCAATATTCTTCTGGTAACCTATGATATTATTCAATAGTGCCCAGGCTTATTAACAATCAAAATCAGAAACAATCAAGATATTTTTCAACAAATTCCTAATGGTTCAAGAAAAATATTCAAAACTAATTATGCATTTATAATTTCAAGAATCATCAGTTTAAGTACCCAAAGATTAGTTTGCCTTTAATCAGCCAAATTCAAGTCCAAACCAGTTATAAATGAAACTCTACAGTAAAACACTCTTCCATCATACTTTATTGAAAATTTCAAAATAAACAATATCAATTTAAATAACAGTACTGTATGGTTCAAGAAAATTCTAAAAATCATAAAGACCTACATGATTTGTGAAAGCTTGTCTGTAGTCAAAACCTTTCAAGAAACCTTAAACTCATATGGTCTGAAATTTCTTATCAAATCTACCAAGCAAATCAGAGGCACATGAAACAACTCCTATAGTGATCTCATATTATTTAAAATTAAACTTTTCTTAAGAACACTTCTAACACAAATCTTCTTTAATCAACTATATCCAAAACAATATTCAGATTACTTTTGTTCAAGATATGAGCTCAGAATTGAAAATATCAAATATGTTTTTGAATACATCAAAGCAGAAAATCATGCAACTTGAATCATTAACAGTATAAATAATATCCTACATCCAAGCCAAAGCAACAAACCAATCAATCACATCTGACAAGTAGTTAAGCTTTCATATGATCTTATTAATAATATACATTTCACAGCAAATACTATTACCTGGACTAAAGCAGTTTCTGAAAGTCTTATACTACTTTATAATTTAATTTGAAAACCAAAATACAATACAGTGAATACATCTTTCACTACTGGAATTAAATGAGATCCAAACCTTTACTAGCCAAACAATAATAACAAAAATAATAACAATAACATCAATTTAAAAAATCCAAACCAAAAAACATTAAACTTCAGATCCAACTTAAATTTTTATAGTAAACTAATGATAGATTTTCTATCTTTAATTATGAATAAATTTATTAATAACAATTACAATTCCACTCTATGTTATAAAAATTTAATAATTAATTTTAATAATCTTATCAATAATCCTAAATAAGTATTTATAGCTGCTCAGTACTATCTCAAATATGTAATAATTTTAATATTTATTTTCCTTACTACTAAGATAGTTTATATAGGCAAACTAGTATTAGACTTATTAACTTAGCTAGTTATATAAGAGATATTGTTACTTTTTTCATATATAAATTTCAAACAATTTTACAATTAATAAAATAATAATATTTACCTAAAAATATATATCTATATTAATTTAAATAATTTCTTAAAAAAATTTTTTTTTGTTAATTAATTTAGTTGACTTTTATTTAATATAATATATATATACAGTATGGTGCAAAAAAATAATAATTATATTTTTAGTTATAACTTAGTAAATAATTATTGAAAATTTATGAAAATTTATAAATATATAGTTAAATACCTGATAAACAACTTTACTTAATATTGTTTTAATTAATATATTAATATTATATATATATATATATAAAGTGATTGAAAATAGGTAAAAAAATTTTTTATAAAAATATAAAAATATTATATAAATATTTCCAAACATTTCTAATATTTATATACTATATATTCTTTTTTTAATAAATTCATTAATTAAATTAAAAGTTATAATTTTTTTTAAAAAAATTTTGCAATCTTATTTTTGAATCAATTTTTTTAATGATACTTTTAACTTTAAAATAAAATATATTAAAAAATTCTTATTATTATTTAAAATTATTTAATTAGTTTTTTTTTATTATATCTTCAAAATTAAATCAATAAAATATTAAATTATAAAAAAATTTATTTATGGAATTATTAATTAAAATATAATTATAAAAAAATTATTATTATTTTTGCACTATATTGTATATGAATAATTATTTTTGAAGGTGAAAAAAATGCTAGATATAATTTTTTTGGTTTCAACTTTTAAATAATATATATATAGTATAAATTTTAAAATTATATCAAAAAATTTCTGGTTTGCTTTTGAAAATAATTACCCATTGTTAAAGGTAAAAATAGTTATACAAAAAGATAAATAAATAAAAAAAGATAATTGGGTTTATTGAATATAATAAGTATAATAAGTATATCAAGTATATTAGATATATCAGATATATTAAATATATTAAGTATATCAAGTATATTTAATATATTTGATATATTAAGTATATAGTAAAGAAATATAAAAGTAACAAGCAAAACAATTAAAAAAAGAGTTGATCATATTTAATAAATTATAATAAATTAATAGATCAACAATATATACTTGACCAAAAACATATATGCCTATTTCAAAGTAAGATAATCTAATGACCATTATATAATATAAATTAGATTGCAATAATGAACTTGCTATGTCATATTACAATACCATATATATTTTATATTATAGAAATTATTATTTATAAATTATTACATATATTATTAAATTATATTAAATAGCTTTTATATTAGTTTGTTATTAATAATTCAATTCTAAAAGTATTAAATTAAAGATTAACAAATCAAAGTATTATTAATATTTTTTTATATTTTTTTAGTTTTATTTTCAATTAAAAAACTTAATAAGAAATTAAATAAAAAAAATTAATAATAATATTTATTTAATAAATAAAATATTATAGAAGTTTTTTTTTTAAATTTATATTATACATGTTGTTATTACTATTAGCAAGTCTGTTATTAATCCAAAATCAAATCTCATTTTATAATAGGATTGAACTTGTCAAGCACTTGCTTGTCTTTAAGATACTATAACTTTATTTTATATCTTTAATTAATTTTACTCTAACTTGATTTTAGTTTCTAACAATTCATTATATAAATATCAAATTGCAAACAAAAAAGGTAAATTTATTAATTAAGCCATTATACAGATTATAAGTTTGATAGTTTTTAATTAAGCAAAAACTTTTTTATTAAGCAATTAGCTAACTTACTTGTCTATTATATTCTATAATTATTTATATTATCTATGATATATTTTCAAATTAATTGTTATGTCCTGCAATTTTATAATAAACTTTTATAAACTTTAGCTCTTTATTAATATATAATTTGATACATCTGATCTTGTACTATATCAAATTCTATACTTGATCCTATATCTTTATCCTCCATTATGTTATATTTTTTTTTATCCATATAGTTCTTATGTTAACAATATAATGGAATTATTATATATAGTAAAATTATAAATTTTTTAAATTTTTTTTTAAGAATTAAATATAATATATATAAGATTTTTATTATAAATTGATAAAAATTATAAATATTTATTACATAAATAAAATTATAGATTTTTTAAGTTTTTGTTATATATAAAACTTTAAAATAAAAAATTTTTATTAATAATTTATAAATAAGTTAAATATAAAACAAGTTTAATATGATAAAATTTAAAATAAACTTATTAATTCAATTGTTTTATAATAAAATTTTATTAATTTTATTAATTTGATTATTCAATATAATTTGATTAATTCTCCCAGGTGAAGGCGATTGAACAGTTCTATATGATATCTGGCATCATAACCTGTTATGTGCTGTTTCTCATGCGAAGCCGTTTCACACACTGATCTAGCGGGCGTTGAGATTGTGTTCTCTAGAAAAAGTGTTGTGGCGTGTTGATTTTTCCGGTTGGTGTTACAATGATCAATGTTATGTTTAGTGCATTTCCTGGTTCCTCTTAGGTCATTTCCCCCTCTTATAGTTCACGAGACTATAAAAGAAAGCTTATTAACCCAATTAGGCAACTTTGAAGATGATCATTCTATGGATATAGTGGATTGGAAAAAACTCAGGTTACTTTACAGAAGTTGTGCTTTGCTTGGTATTCGTACCTCTAGATTTGGCAGCTTAAGCCAACTAAGAGACCTATGGAGTGTTTACTGGAAGAGTAAGAAGTAATCCTTAAGGAGTTGTGCTCCACTTGGCCAGCAACCGAGCTCCCAGATTTGGTAATGTGTGCCAACTATAGGAATAACTCTTGAAGCATTTACTAGAAAGTGTAA